TAATTCTCAGTCCCTGAGCCATTGTGCTGCACTGGACTTAGTACCAGCACACATAAGCTCAAGAGAGCTATGTAAATATTCCTGCAGTAACTGACCGTGTCTGGGTAGTGGATCCAAGAGTATATGACAGATGAAGTCCATCCTACGTGTTCGTTACCTGTATACTGACTTTCCTCCTCAAAAAAATGTGAAATCATGCAAATTATCAGGAATACTCTCCATCTGATGAAGAGCAAATTATAAAACTTATTGTAAGGGGGTAGTGCTTGGAAAAACTGAAAAGGTGAATGCTGCAGGAAAGAAAAGTATGTCAGGTTAAGTTAAAAAATAACTAATCTAAGGAAAATAATGAGGCTGTAATAATTTACTTTCGAGCAGGTTTATAAATCTTTAAAAAGACCTGTAGGAGATTTTGGATCATGGAAAAGCAATGACGATGACCATAGCCTCCATTCTGTTTGAACAGGAGTAGTTCTCTCTGTTAGTGGAGTTCAAGAGAGGGGTCATCTCCTTACATATGCAGCAGAACAGAGACACCCACATTGAGGAATGCCCACAGGAGAAGAAAACTTTTTATTTGAATGGAACTTAGAATTTTTCCTCTATTTGATTGTCGTTACCAGAACATATCAATCATTTTACGTATTTTAAAGAAAACTTGATGTCGCTGAAGATAAGGCTAATGCTCAGCCTCAGTGTTGGAAAAGAAAACTTGACTAAATGATTGCTTACCTCCAAGTTAAATTCATTGCTGGTGTAACGTCCATTTAGCTCTGAGCACTTGACTCTGAACTTTCTGTCAAAGGTGGCAGAAGCGTACCAGTTACGGTATCGAATCTGACGAAGAACCTGTTCATAGTTGTGCATGCTGTCCACACCTGAAATGGTGGTAGAGCAGTAATAATATCAAGGAGATGCTATGTAACAAATGCTCTGTGCAGTACAGGAGAAATCAAACATTCGCACAAAATACAAAATTTGGCAGAATGATCTGAAAATGGCACTGCATCAAATATTCCCTGATAGAGCCTCTGGCTGATACTAAATTATGTGAGATGAGCTTTTGGAAATGAATATAAGTCCATAATGGAGAGGAACAAATACAACAGCAAAAAGGTAGAATAAATTATTTAGTAATTGAAAAAAATGGCCAATGAGTTACCAGCACTGTGCAGGACCACTGAGGAATCCCCTCATTCCCACGTTCCACTTGTGATGGTCCACAGGAGCCCCCACATTTAAAGAAAGCAGTGTTGCTATTTTCCTTATTTGGGGAGAGGCAGGAGGTATGCTGAGATCAAGACAAAGCTGTGCCATATTCCGAAGGATAAACACAGCACACCCAGAGATCAAGAAGTGACTACAATTTTTGAGACACAGTCTCTCGTGGAATATTTTACGGCTAGTACATCACAGATTTCTGTCTAGTTTCTTTCAAATTAGTCCTTTTGTTTGAATAATGTAATTGTTGGTGGGAAGAAATAAGGGAAAGCGAAGTCCATGAACATACCATAGATTGAGTATCCTGCTGTGGAATTTGTGGCATCTAGATGTTTTCCTTGAAGCTCCACATGATCTAGTTCTAAACACTCTTGTTCAGGATCTAGTTCTGTGCCAATGACCAAAATATCACAGAAATCCAAGTTGTGGAGCATTTCCTCTAGTACCACTGGCTTATTGGCTGTGAACACATGGCATATACCATGAAAAAAGAAGAAAGAAACTAAGATAAATGATCACAGAACAGCTCAGTCATTTTATGTGCTTTGCATCACAGCTTTCAATTTTTTCAAAGAGGGCTGAACTTGTTTTTTGCCAATATTAAATACAGCATACTTGAAGCAAATCAAAAGAGAAGTGGCTTGCCTGTTCAGGTGCTATGATGATGAAGGCCTACAAATACCTAGTGAGATAGATAGATAGAAATATATTGCTCTGTAATAAAAGGCATTCAAGAACAGTACTGGAAGTAGAAAACTGAAATTTGATCCTGGAAATAAATTCATGTAAACAATTCTGGTTTTCAATGCTGTATTGGCACCAGGTTGGTATCACACATTCATTCTTTTCTCAAGGAAAACCGAACTGGAAAAATACATGTCAAATATAGCTATGCTTGGATGATTCTCTCAGTTACTCTGTGGCCCATGAAGAATTTGCATTACAAAGAACATGGCCATCTATCCAAGAACATGGTACTATAAATGGCAAGATCCTGTGTTGTGTGACTTGGAGGAATTGAGTTGTAAACTGACTATCCTTCAGTATGTACGATTAAAAAAAATAATTCTGTCGCTGGAAAAAGAGTAGCATATCGATTTAATATTTCAATTCTCTGGTCAACTTAGCACAGAGTGTCTGGCAAAACTGCTTAACCAGCTAGCTGAGGGTACTGTAGACAAAGAGACTGAAGTCTTGGAACTTAGTGCCCATTTTGTGAATCTCATTTTAGAGGGTGTATGGGGAAGGAAGGCACAGACACAAAAGTCTTATGCCCTAGATTTCCAACTCCTGGTACGGTGAATTTGGGTTTCTGAACTCTAGGTACAACTCTAACTTATCCCAAAATGCAGACCCAACTCAAATTTGCAGGATAGGCAAATCTGAATATTGCTAAGGCTGATAAGTTGGACTATTTTATGGGAAGCTATGAGAGACAGGCAAGAGCTGGGCTGCAGAGCAAGGGAAATGCCTGAACTGGTCAGCTTTGCTGCTCTGGCTGTCAGGGGGCAAACAGGAGAGGTGGGGCAGCAGTTTTAGCTGTTGGTGGGGTCCCACTGATTTTACTACTGAGGCAGGAGAAGCAACATATTGGCATTCCAGGGGCTCTCTGCAGGTAAATAAGGCCTCAGAGCCATAGGCATGCTGCTGCCTGTGGCAATTGCCTGATCTGCTTTTGATGAGAGACAGACCTAACTGGTCCTGTGACTGAGGAATACATGGCAACTAAACCAGCCTTCTCAGCTTTGCCATGTGCAGCTCTGCTACAGTCATGATGATCAGGTTATGTAAATTCCCAGTAAGTGGAAAAATAGCTATAGGTAAATATAGGTTAAGATTTATGGCTGTCTTTGCCTTTCTCAGGTAATATCTGGGCTGAGAGAAATAATGATTCAAGCTTATGATGCAGGAATTGAGACTTAGAATTCAATAATCTTTTGCAAAACACAATTATTCCCAAAGCCAATTATTATCTACCCATTTTAACCACTCTTAGTGGAAATAAACAAGAGATGGCACATTAGGGGGTACGTGACTTTCAAGGAATTAAACAGTAGCTTAAGAAATGCTGCTATGTTCCTTTTCAAGGTGAGACTCAGGCTTTTTAGGTTATAAGGTGCTACAACAGTAATTATGTCCATAATTATATTGGGAAAAATCAGAATAGACAAAATTTATGAACTAAACTGGAGGACAGTAGTTCCTAATTCACTGAACAGTTTTGATGATGCCATAACATTTAGGGACACGGAGTATCATACATGCATTGTGCCTTAAGTGATGGATAACAATCACTTTTTTCTATGCAAGAATTCTTTTTTTTTTTTTTTATAAATACTGTAATTATATGCAGTTGATATTACGATATGATACACTTTCCAGCCTTCAGAGGACAGATGCAGTTTCAGGCAAGTGATAAGCAGCATTATTACACAGCGTGGCTTCAGGGAATCCATGCCGCTACACTTACACATCATTAGCAATTCTATCTTTTCAGGAGAGGTACATCTATTTGCTGCTTATTGTAGTCCAACAGATATTGTTTAGAATGATTCCTCAGATTACTACACTTTTCATTTACCTTGCACACAGACATCCAAATAGAAGATTCCTTTATATTTGGAATATTAGGAATTTATATTAGGAATATTAGAAATTATTTTAAGGAATTATTTTAAACCTTATTTATATTTTCGAACATTCACCTAGTCTCAAATAATAATGCACACATTGCTCAGCATTAGAACAAACTGTCATCATTGAAAAAAACTTTGCAAATGATTATATTTACATTATATAGGTGGGAAACTGAGGCACAAGTACCACCCACAAGTCAGTAGCAAAGCTGGAAACATAACAGACAAAAACTCCAACTGTTAGTCAATTACTGCTTTCCACTTTATCAGTACAATTAACAAAAGTCTGTTACAAATAGATTCTAATGAAAACATGTTATTTAACGGAATATGTAAAGAGGAGTGGAAAGGAATTATTCTGAAGTAGGCAAGACACTAAATGGAAGAGCTGGGTTTTTTTGAAGCACGTACTGATTTATCACTATTTAACACATTTTTCAGTGTGTTTAATTGAATGTCTTCAGTACAGTATTACCGCTGCCTAACATTGCCTAAATTAATCTGGGTGCTTGTGTTACTTGTTTGCACTGTCCTTTAAAAAATGTGAGGGCTTGTGTTACAAAGTAAGTAATAATATTTAAAAGAAATCCACAAACCTCTGTCATGTTCTTTTAAGTCCACAGGATGCTCCATTTTAGTGACTGTGCTGACAATCCTGATGTCAGGTAACAAAATAACACCTCTTTCACTTTCAAATTGTGCAGCTGGTCTAGCAAAGTGGTCCATCCCACTTATTGTAATCTTGGGCTCATTGGCCTGAAACACCATTACATATGCATCTATATCTGGGATACTAATGCAGACATCTTCACCAAAACATCTGAAAAATATATTGTTCATTAACTGCATGTAACACATTGCACATCAGAGGTGTGTGGCACTTGCACTGTTCAAAACCCACCTGACGGCTCTCATCCATTTGTATTGTCTCAGCTCAGTCTATTCCATACTTTGACACTGCCACACGTAAGGACATGCATCTGCACCACCATGTACATAGGCCAGCCGTGACAGTAACAGCTCTGTTCCTCTCATCCCCTCCCACATTCACAACTACTGAAATTACGTAGGGACTGCTTAGCAAACAGATTCATGACAATCTCAGTCTCTAGTAAGGTCACTATGAGAACAATAGTTTGATATTTAACTGACATTTAATGAAGTAGTGAATGGTTGAAAAAATTAAAGTTAATTATTAGATGATAACAACTAACTTTAGTAAATCTAACATTAAGTTCTCAAAGTGGTATCTAATGAATATAATACAGTTATCTTGTCATGTGTGAATAAAAGGGCCTAATTATCCATGTAAACTGGACCCATCATGAACTCATTCTGGCACCCCCCAGTATTTACTGGGGACAAAAGGGGCCTAGATTAGCATTTTCGTCTGAATCAGCACTGTGCTTTGGAAGTGAATCTCCTGACAAACTCTACCTTACTTCATCTTGTCACAAGGCTTGGGCCAGCCTTGGAGTGTGCAAACTGGACTGCTTCCAGTGAAACTCCATCAGGAGATACTCTGCAAACCCTTAGTGTGGTCAGCCCACAGCACTAGACTAAACCTAGTACTTAGTAAGAACTGTACGCACAGTAGATGAGAGTTCGTACAACTGATGTTTATTTTCACTCTAAAGATCTGCTTTCACCACACTGTACAACCTGCTGTAACAGAGACGTACCCCAGGGGAGCTCAGGAGTGGCAGATGGCTCTGATTATGTAGAACTGTAAACATTATTGTGCAGGTTCTGTCACTATTGTTGCATGAAAATGGAAGGACATGGATTTCTGTTTAACACCCAACACCAGTACTTCAGTGATGACAGACATAAAAGGATACAGACAGATAAAGACTATTTCAAGCACAGCTACAAATACTGTTCTTGAAGATACATCATCGTCTGTTAGTGGTGATGGGCCTGCTTTAAAAAGTCATGGCTCTAGCTATCTCAGAAGAAACTATAACTTTTTAAAATGAACAGTAAAATAAGAATGCAATAAATGCAAGTACTGTTCAGTCCAGACTGTATGCTCCAAACTATAAACAGAATGCAAGTAAATTACATTAACAAGAAAAGTTTCTTAGAAGGACAATATAAAAAGAAACCACAATGTAAATCAGCATAAAAGTAAATTAAATTCATCCTTTATGCTCAATAATATAAAAGTATGATTTAGTAATGTAATTTAGCCAAAATTCTTCTTTTTATATTCCAAAGAAAAAAGTAATTGATTAAAAATGCTCCTAATCTAATCAGTTCAGCTGAAGTATAACTTACTGGACTTTAGATGAGACTTTGAGACGTCGTACACCTGCAGTAGGAAACTGTCTAGAGTTGATGTATGAGACCTTTTGGAGAGCTTGATTTATATTCTCAATGTCATCTCCTTCCATGACAAGGACTGACTGGGAAGGATTGAAGTGATACTAGGGGAAATGCATATAATTAGTATTTAAGGTACCAGGTACAGATTACAAAATAAGACATTTTTAAGAAATGTTGCACAGACATAACGTTAAAATCTAATTATTTAAGAAAAAAAAAATTCTTAGTAGCTATTGTTGGCTCAATCCACTTGTTCCCTAAAATGTGTATTCATATCAGTCATCTATTTCATAGCTGAATCGCTAGTTATAATTAATTTTATAGTAAACTAATCCCACTTTGCTGTATTTTGCCCAGTCTTATCAACATTGCTGATACTATTTCTGCAGCTGTAGAGTTCAAAAGCTTAACTTACTGTCATCATTATTATTAATATGTAACTTTTTTTTAGGTTAAACACAAGCCCCATAAAAAAATGTTGGCTTAAACCAGAGTAGCATGCAGAAGCATATTTTTCCTACTTTCTGTTTGGTTTTACCCTGAGCTATCTTTCTGAGATATATTTCAACATGAATGAATAAAACAATTATAACATTTGCCTCCTACATCTTCATTAATGTCAGACACAATAAAGAGGATTCTCCTTTCTCTGTCTCATGATCAATAAGGCTGTCATGATTTAAGATAGAGCTGCTACTTGCACAAAGCCAGCAGCTCATTTGAGCCAACAAACATTGCGAAGTCAGTGGCTATTCTTGTAGTCTTGATCCTTCTCTAGTCCATTGCATTGAACACCAAACATTCTTGCTGACCGAGAAATTTTACTACTATATTCACATAGCAAATGATTGATTTTATCTTCATCATAATTCATCCTGATTCCATATTTTTGTCTGTTAATTGGTTCAGCAAACTATCTGCATTGCAGAGAAAGCCAGATTAACCCCCTTGATTTTGTACCCTATTGTTGTCAGCACAAAACACAAAGAAATGCACCCTTGTCTCACATGCAGTCCCCTCCCAAAACTGGCTATTGATTATATGAACGTGTTCTACTATATACAGACAATGGCTGTCTACACTTCCTTACAATGAGAAAGATTAAAAAGCAAAAGAGCAAATAGACTGTGAAGAACAGAAGGAAGCACAGGGTTCTCTGTCAAACAGAACACAGAGGACTGGGTTTAAAACTTGTGCAGGAAGGTCATAACACACTGAAGGGTATTTGTTAACAAAGAGAAAGACTAACATGAGTCACAGCCTGCATACACTTCTTCCTTTCTGTAAGTTAGCAGTAGTAGAGGATGAAATTAGCAAAAGGAGACTCTAGCTAGGTAGTTAACTTAATAGCTCAGCTGCCAGAACGGCTGGAATGCTGCCAAAGGGACTGGAGAAAGCCCTAGTCTGAGCCATTTTTGTCTTTCTCATTAAAAAAAGGCTAAAAATAGCGACAGTTTAGACAGTGTTTCTGAGAGCTGTTACAGATATCTGAAAAATTAGGCCACAGACAAAAAAAAAGTCCAACACTACTGTGTCAGAAACTGTATTACAGCTGCATTGGTCTTTCTCAGGTGGCTAAAGGGTGAAGCTTTGTGAGTCCAAAGTGCCCAGCAAAACACCTTCCAACAACAGTTTGCCAACATTGAATCTGCTAAGTGCCATGTAAATAGCCACACAGAACCTATCATCTGTACAACTGTCACACATGCTTCTCTGAGATCAGGTATGTTTATTTTTGACACCAGAAACCCTTTCTCTTTATTAATCTTCTGCTCAACATCAGGTGCCAACTGTTCCGCTTTCATCTGAGCTTCTTTCTGCCAGCCCCAATAAGAAACCCTACCACAATCTATCTCTGACTGCTTCTTTCATTTTTGCCTCCTGCTGTTGCACTGACTGTTGAGCTTGCTGAGGAAGTAAAAATGAAAACAGTAACTTTAGAAAAACACTATGCCTCATCTGAATTTCAGAAAATGAAAATGTTTTGAAGTTTTGTGAAAGAAAGAAAAGGCAGAAAACAGTCCCTTATATTCATTTTCCCCACTTCCCCCCAGGTGGGTTGACCTTGGCTGGATGCCGAATGCCCACCAAAGCCACTCTATCACTCCGCTTCTCAACAGGACAGGGGAGAGAAATTATAAAGAAAAAGCTCATGGGTCGAGGTAAGGACAGGGAGATCACTCACCAATTACTGTCATGGGCAAAACAGACTCAACTTGGGGGAAATCAGTTTAATTTATTGCCAATCAAAACTGAGTAGGGTAATGAGAAATAAAATCATATCTTAAAACACCTTCCCCCAACCTCTCCCTTCTTCCTGGGCTCAACTTCTTTCCCAATTTCTCTACCTTCTCCCCCCAAGTGGCGCAGGGGGATGGGGAATGGGAGTTGTGGTCAGTTCATCACACATCATCTCTGCTGCTCCTTCCTCCTCAGGGGGAGGACTCCTCACACTCTTCCCTTGCTCCAGTGTGGAATCCTTCCCACGGGAGACAGTCCTCCATGAACTTCTCCAACATCAGTCCTTCCCACTGGCTACAGTTCTTCACTAACTGCTCCAGCGTGGGTCCCTTCCATGGGGTGCAGTCCTTCAGGAGCAGACTGTTCCAGCATGGGTCCCCCACGGGGTCACAAGTCCTGCCAGCAAACCTGCTCCAGCGTGGGCTCCTCTCTCCATGGGTCCACAGGTCCTGCCAGGACCCTGTTCCAGCGTGGGTTTCCCACGGGGTCACAGCCTCCTTTGGGCACATCTACCTGCTCCGACGTGGGGTCCTCCATGGACTGCAGGTGGATATCTGCTCCACCATGGACCTCCATGGGCTGCAGGGGCACAGCTGCCTCACCATGGGCTGCACCAGGGGCTGCAGGGGAATCTCTGCTCTGGTGCCTGGGCCACCTCCTCCCCCTCCTTCTTCATTGACCTTGGGGTCTGCAGAGTCGTTCCTCTTGCATATTCTCAGTCCTCACTCCAGCTGCAGTTTGTGTCAAGGTGTTTTATTTTGGGTTTTGGGTTTTTTTTTTTTCCCCTTCTTAAATACATTATCCCAGAGGCACTACCACCGTCACTGATTGTCTTGGCCTTGGCCAGTGGCAGGTCCGTCTTGGAGCTGGCTGGCATTGGCTCTGTCGGACATAGGGAAGCTTCTAGCAGCTTCTCATAGAAGCCACCCCTGTATCCCCCCCTGCTACCAAAATCTTGCCACGGAAATCCAATAAACCACTGCACTGCTAGTACAGTAAGGAATCCAATCACCCATGCTGGAGCAGCAGTGGGTGGTAAACAGGGATTTTTTCCAAGCCCATGAAACAAGACTAAGCAAATATTGTAATGTTTCAGAGTGTGACAATAGGGGAGGAATTAGTATGCTTTTAAGCACCATGGACCAAGTTTACACAGCTTTAATTCATGTAAAACGCCAGCAAAGAACTTACTGGTACGCATATACACTTGGATTCCATAAAACCCTGCCTCCTCTTTGTATGCATTGACTTTTAAAAATAGCTTTTACTCATAAGTGTGTCATTTGGTGGGAGAAGCAACAGTGTGAAATTCTTAATGGTGTCCTTGGTAGGACAAAGAGAAAAAATTCTTTGGGGTGTTTTGCTCATATGTAAAAGCTAGAGCTAGCAAAATTACTCCTTATCTTTGCACTCTCCATTTTAATTTTTACCCTTGTTTTCAGAAAACATACCAGTTATACTACACCACTGCAACTTATCACCTAGACAGACATTTAAGTGTCTTTCAGGTCAGTCTCCTATCTTGTACAATGAAAAGGTTTAGCTAATAAAATATAGTACATGGCACCTCCTCTACATGCTCTAGATCAAACGTTACAGCACCATCCTCCTCCCCACTGAAAAACAACATACTAAAAAACACCTGTGCAGTTTCACAGGATGCATAGTCTGCTGCCAAAGTATCTTCCCAGGCTGAATTTGAAGCTCAGCTCCTTTGGAAGATGGTATTGTGGTTCGTGTGCTAGGAAATAGTTTAACAGCATGTTTACCCATTAGGCAGAACGCCTGTCATCTAATAATGGTATCAGTAAAGGGAAACTGACAATGCATCTCACGTAAGCATTATAGAAGTTATAGTCAAGAACCTACATCTCTATCTGAAAGAACACAATTTATTTGAATGAATGCAAAGCTATGTGGCCACTATGTAAATTGAAACAGGATTTCCCTCTGTTGTTCTTCAATCTTAGAAACAGTGTTATAATATCAGTAAAGACAGTCATATGCATAATGAAGATGGATAATGATTTATATGCAAATGTGAAATTTTAATTTCTTGACTTTAGGTTTTTTTATTGTCCAATTTTCATGTCCCATAATGTTTTCTTCTTCATGAGGTTCAACAAGGCCAAGTGCAAGGTCCTGCACCTGGGACGGGGCAACCCCCGGTATCAGTACAGGCTGGGGGATGAAGGGATTGTGAGCAGCCCTGGGGAGAAGGGCTCGGGGGTACTGGTGGATGAAAAGCTGGACATGAGCCGGCAATGTGCGCTTGTATCCCAGAAAGCCAACCAAATCCTGGGCTGCATCAAAAGAAGCGTGGCCAGCAGGTCGAGGGAGGTGATTCTGCCCCTCTACTCTGCTCTGGTAAGACCCCACCTGGAGCACTGCGTCCAGCTCTGGGGCCCTCAGCACAAGAAGGACATGGACCTGCTGGAGTGGGTCCAGAAGAGGGCCACCAAAATGATCCGAGGGCTGGAGCACCTCTCCTATGTTTGTAGCTTTAGTGTCAAACAAACTATTTCTGCCAGGCAAGCTAGCTCAAGCTTGAACTTTAACTTGAAGATTTGTGTGTGGATTTGGGTTAGGATAGGGATGAAGTGGCAAGTGAGAGAGTTGGGGTTGCTCAGCCTGCAGAAGAGAAGGCTGTGGGGAGACCTTATTGCGACCTTCCAATACTTAAAGGGGGCCTACAGGAAAGATGGGGAGAATCTTTTTAATAAGGCCTGTTGTGACAGGACAAGGAATAACGGATTTAAACTAAAGAAGAATAGATTTAGACTAGACATTAAAAAGAATTTTTTTTCAATGAGGGTGGTCAAGCACTGGAACAGGTTGCCCAGAGAGGTGGTAGAGGCCCCATCCCTGGCAACATTGAAGGTCAGGTTGGCTGGGGCTCTGAGCAACCTGATCTGGTTAAAGCTGTCCCTGCTCACTGCAGGGGGGTTGGGCTGGATGACCTCTAAAGGTCCCTTCCAACCCAAAGCATTCTGTGATTCTATGATTCTATGGAACACACTTTGAATTAATAGTACTGCCTTGGGACTTGTTTTAGAGTTGCCTCCAGATGAAAGATATTCCACTTATGTTTTCCATTGCTTTAAAGCTACTTGATATCAAAAGTCAATAATTCTTTAGAGTCATGTCTATTTCTGCAAAAAAAAGTATGAGAACACAACCTGGCAATTCTTATGGACTCTGAAATATCAGCAGCGCCTTACTTTCTGAGCGTCTAGCTTTGCAAAAATGGAAACATTTTTCTTTGCAGTGTCACAGCTCTTCTACTGTTCTGCTTTTTCTTTGCATGACTTTATGGGAAATTACATTGCTTCTGGGAGTACATTTGTACTGTGTGTACTCTACCTTGGGCTCTCCACTTCATAAATCAGCTCTAAATTTTTATCAAAGGTGATGTTAGTTCATTCCTCACCTTTACTCCTTGGCCAAGACTCTCAAGAGAATTAATATCCAGACCTTCCTTGCAGGCCTGCAAACAGGAAATCACTTTCTGACTCTCAATTTTGCCTGGCCGGATAGTAAGACTGGCCAGGCTGCCGTGGAAATACTGAGCAAACCTGGGCTTGGTGACTTCACCTCCTGCAAGAAAGAGAATATAAAATGATTATCAACAATACACAAACCACACATCTAATAATTCACTTTACGTTTTAACACGTTTAAAGAATCTATATCTATTTTAGCCAAGTATATTTGAGATCCCATTTATTGTGATAAGTGCTTTGTGGGTTGTGGGTGGCACCTAGTAGCAGCCTGTCTTTAAGATTCTTGTCAGTGTTTTTCTAGTATCGTATTCAGGTGTTTATAAAGCTGTGATAACATACTCTGAGATGAAACATTGCTTCCCAAACCTGTGTCCAAGGAAGCACAGCAGTTCTAAAAATGAATTGATGAGATTATTAAAGTGATTAAACACGAATTTAAAAAAATGTTTAAGATCCAACATTTATTTATACAGAAGCTGTGTTTGCAAGTATTCTATTACAAGATCACTTACCCAGCATTTCCTTTTCTCCTCCAGAAAACATACTACCTGAAGTTCTTAGACGTGCTAAGTATCATGGCTCTGTGTAAGCCAGCTGCCACACTGGCTAGAACGGTTGTCTCTAAGGTTATGTTGTAAATTCACAGCAGTGAATGCAGGCCAACGCACAGCGCTATGCTAAAAGGCTTATAGTGCTTCCCTTACCCAAAGCAGCTCATTTGGTGCCAGACTGGGTCTCCTCGCTGCGTGTTGCATTAGGCCCTCTAGCTATGCTCTATTCAGTTTCACTCTAGGCACCTTCAAAGGAAGACTGATCTTTAGGAGTTGTCACTAAAATGTGATTACATACTGCCTGCACCAGTGATCATAGCATCTAAATTACTCTTGGGATATTTAGTGATTTACTCATCCTCCTCTAGGAGAATTTTTAGAGCTTGTCTTTCCTGCAGGTGTTAGCTATATCAGTGCGTGTGAATTACTGACTACCTTGAGCCTGAGAGGACTGAGGGAGCCACGCAACAGTGCAGCCATGCAGACTAATTGGATTAGCAGTTGATAAGCTGTTGTAATTGGTAGATAACTCATCTCTATAGTGTTTGTAGCTTTAGTGTCAAACAAACTATTTCTGCCAGGCAAGCTAGCTCAAGCTTGAACTTTAACTTGAAGATTTGTGTGTGGATTTGGGTTAGGATAGGGATGAAGTGGCAAACTTTCTTTAGGCTGATGTTGCTACCTAAAAGCCTGAAAAACATCACTTCTAGTCTGTGCAGTATGAGCACTATGAAAAAGACTCAAGTTATTTTATATAGTGAAGAAAATACACACTGGTGTACTGAGAGAAAAGAAAGTCTCTAAGCAGGCTGTTTCTTCACAGAAGTAAACAGGTTTTGTTCTTTTTTGTTAACATTACAGCACAAACTGCCTCTCTTTTTACCCCAACTAAAGATCCTCAAGGAGACATTATTCTTCTCCACTCTTTCATTCATTTCTCCATTATACAGAAAACTTCTTCTGGGCAGAATTTTTTTGTGGTTTCATAGAAACTTTCATGTATGCAACAGCTAAACTGCAGGATTAATTTGTGCTATAATTTTGGCCTTTCTGATACTTACCAAGACAATTATTTGGTAAATAGATAGTGCATTATGGGGACATGGACTTTTCAGCAAAACTGTTGCTATATTTATCTGTTTACATTGTCTTTAAAAGTACATGTTGCCACTAATACAGCAGCAATGTATTTGGACAGAAAAAGGTAGGCCAAATTAAAAAAAAAAAAGAAAAGCAAACCTTTCCCTAAACAGGAGACAAAGAGAGAAAAACAGTTAAGAACTTACAGAAGAAGTAGGGAATCACATTGTGCTTTAAGCTTCAAATTTTCATATCCCTAACAGAATTCTGAAGACAGCAAGTTCCAAGGCTAAAACACCAACACTAATCCTGGAGCTTTGAAATTTAGAAACCTAGAGTAAGTCTGCCAGTAGATCTTAATAGTTCTGAGGAGATGCAAAATAAGAAGCAGTCTCAGATAAGCTAATGTATTTAAATGCGAAATTAGCCCATTAAAATGTATAAAGGCATAGACAAGAAGCTGTAACAAAGAATTCAGTGCTGCGGCTATGCCTGACAGAAACAAGCAGGATAAACCAGTTGAAGTAAAGTTACAGAGCAATATGATGGGTGCATACATCCATGAATAGGAATTTCAGGTTTGGATTTTTTCTTTTTTTGATTGGTTGTTCTTTCACTTTGGACTAGTTCTTCTCTGGTGTCATTGACAAAGCACTTACATTGACATTGTTAGGTCATTTACACTGACACAGTAATTGCCTATAAACCATATTAAATATACAGAGTATTCACTGTGCCCAAGCCCCACTTTAAAAAAATGCTGGTGTACAAGGAGGCATTACCATCTTGGAGATGTATAATTCTTGTTTAAAGTCATCTGTCCTGTAAGTTGTCTGCCCAACCACTAATATAAAACCATGGAAAACAATATGAGTGTTTCCAGGAATAAGCTTTTAAAATGCTCTGCAAATACAGGCACTACAACAACAGTATTTGAAGAACAGGATTTCATACTTACCCTGTTCACAGGACTAAGATTGGGTTTTGTGCAGATGAATAGATTGATTTTGGATTGTAAAGGAGGTGATGTAATCTTTGTTCTGGAGAGGCTATCAACTGCCATGTAAAAAAAGCAAGTATCTCAAGAAAATGTGAGTGAAAAATAGCTGGGACTAGCTAGTCTTATATTGTGTCAGTAGAGAAAATCTGCAAAACTATGTCCATGGTTATGGCAGGGTGATTCAGGCTGGGACAACTGCACTAGAACAACTGATAGCAGAGTCTGAAGGGACACTGAAGGATGATACAGTCTGTCCCGTAGCCACAAGACAAGAACAGCTGTATTTAATCCATTCTTGAGAACTGCCTGAGCTGTTCTAAACTCTTTGGAAGACAAGCAATTCACTCCAGTGACCACTGATCCTTAGAGCTGGAAGTTTATTCCTAATAGGGAATGTGAGTTGTCAAAATATGGCTATGTCTTCCCTTTTCCTTTGCCAGGTTAAACAAGGCCTTTTCTTTGCATCTTCTACCTAACACTGTAGACTATGATCATCCCTGTTGCTTTTCCTGGAATTCCTGCTATTATCTGAAGTACTAACCATAACCTAGTGTTCTCAACATTATATGTGGTTTACATGCCTATTAATCCAGGGTAGTGTGAATACTAACTTTTTCCACATGAAAAAAACATGAGCACTTTATCTCACACTTCACTAGAAAAAAACAGACTGCTAAATAAGCCTTCCATAAGAACCTTTTACCAGAGTTAAAGACAAAATTATATACCTGCCAATTGTATCCTCGAAGCTGAACAGAAGTCATTGTATCTGACTCTTATCACAGCTGCTTGTAATTGCACCATGTTCACATTTTGATATTCTTCTACCTCAGCATTCCAGAATCTTCTCAGCTCATTGGGGTATGTTAGCTTGCTGATGTGTTTCAATTGCCAGTAATTATTAGATTGCAAATGGACAAAATCCAATGCAATAAAATCAGAAAGCAAAAACCAAAACTCTCGTTAAAGTTGAAGGAACGGCCTAAAGCCAATCTGCTACAACCCTGTATTCTAGCTTTGATAAAAGGGATTACTGGGAATATAGTTTTATAGTTTTATAGTAAGAGGAAAAAATTGTCAGAATAAATTGAAAATCTTCAGCAACTGGCTGTTTTACTCCTGTCTGTAACAGTGTTTTATTCATGCTTGGTTCTACCATATTAGTATGTTTGAATGCTGTCATTCCTTCTGCTTCTGCAATTTAATATTCTTCAAGTATTTGACCTCAGCTTCTCAGTGGGTGCAAATTTAGCCCAGGATGGCCAATCTCCCAGTCCTAGTCACTCTAAAATACTTAGCTGCCAAGGTTAGATGAGTATAAATATATTTAATCCAGCATGAAAATGGTAATTCTGTAGCATGTTAAAGCACAGTGCATATGTGTAGTTAATGCTGATAGTAACATTTTTACAGAATATTATCCAAATTCTTCTAAATACTGATCTTTTCAAACAGAGATCCTTTGACTCTGGGTATGATACAGTTCCACAAACAGCTGATAGGCAGCTCAGAGCCACTGACTTCATTGGGCAGGAGGAATGCTCAGTTCCATTGTCTGAATTTGACTCATCGCTGAAATTACCACAAGCTAAGAAACAACTGAGAAAAAGGCATAAGCTACTCCCAACAGCTCTTACTGCTTTAAGACACTTTGAACTTAACTCTTGGTTCTGGCACCAAACTGAGCCTAAGCAACAATATTTTTGAGATAATGAAGACGACCTAAATAGATTACACAAGCCTCTGGAGCAACAATTCAGAGAACAAACTGGAGCTCCAGTGATGATTATCTTGAGGTAATCCAAGTGTCCTAAATTTTCTTCTACTTCCCAATGTCATGGTGCAGTGAAAAATAAAGTGTTCTGTAACACAGCATCTGCCAGTTTCTATCCAGAGGTCAGGCCATCCAGTTAACTTAGATTGTCTGAGCAAGTTTCATGGGATTTTTCTGCTGTCAGGGTCTTTTTGCCCTTTTTTACAAGTGAGATGCAGCTCAGATACAGCTCACCTCCCCAGTGATGTTATAGCATCAAGACCTAAGAGAATAAGAAAACCTACTCCTCAACTGTGTAACGTGTATTTCAATCAGCTCTATGCTTATTGATTAGTACGGATTAATATGCTGGGAGAGCTAATTCATGGGAGATAGTTAAGTAGTTAAGGTTTAGCCAAATGATGTGACCAACAAAAGAAAACTGAACCTTCCCTACTGTCAGTCAGGGAATAAGGTTGGTGTCTGTAAGACAAAAAAGACTGAAACAACACTATAGAACAACATCACTTACTCTCATTACAGACCCTTGCATGACAAATTTTCGAAGCTGCTGTTTTTTTCCCTTCCTTAAATGTAAATGTTGAGGTCACCATCACAGTTCTGAGGCAACAGAGGCCACAGTGTTATTCAGACCTTGATGATAAAATTGTGCATTGCTTTTCCCACCTGACCCAGCATGCATATCCACT